GACAGGGGCTTCAGAGCTCAGTGCTTAATCACCGGCTGGGTGCTTTTACCACGAATTCATAAGGCCACTTTAGAAGCGCATGCAAAACCTATTTCTGAAGAGAAGGCGGGCATTTCAGGACCGGGTAACCGTTACTCACAGGGGGCCCATCAGCACCAGGAAGGCCGGCGAGCCCCGGTTTGCCTTGGGGTCCCTGACCAAACAGAGAGAGAGAATGTTTAGCTGGGAAAATGAAAATAATGCAGAGTCTGACTTTGTACATAGGAATCTACTACTAATAAAATCCTTAACTTGAGTCGCTGGTTTTTATATATAAACCACAACCATGCAGATACTTTTCAACATATAAAGTAGAAGAGATGGTATAGAGAGATAAATAAAATCACATTCAACACATGTCAAAAACATGCTAATTTCTGGCCTGCTTTTTGTATCTTTTTTAATTAGCAGATGAGCTTTTGCATACCACAATAAACTAGAGTTTCAAGTATAAAAGAGAAAACAATATAGGTCAGAAATACATCCATTTATATCCTAGAGGAGGCAAACATTGGAGAGATCCATGAACAATATTGTGCTGATCCAAATAATTACAGAGTAACACTGATGAAACATCAGTAATTATTAACGTAGTTTAAGAAATATCAGTTATAACGTGACAGTTATTCATAGGACATGATGAAAAATAAATCTAATATTTCAATGTAAAAATGAGATCACCTAATGTTCAGCAAACAAATAGTAACAGAACTATTTCTTCGACAGGCTAATCCCTGTGGAACCACAGAGGGTCTTAGATCGCATTGAGCTTGACCATTGCTAAGGCTGGAACATGGTCGGAATGACTGGCCCAACAGCCGACCCTTTCTTGGGGGGAACACAGGCATTCTGCTGAGAATGATGAGCTTCAGCCAGTCCCTCGGGCCCAGGCCACTGCTGCTTACTGGTCAAGTTATAAAGTAGGATTTAGAGACAATTAAAAGGGCAAGCATCCAGCAGCAACCCTAGGCTGTGGACGTGGCCGAGGGGGTTTCCATTCTCAGAGTGCTGAGGAAAACCACAGGCTTCGCCTGAGAGTAGAGAGTTTACAAGACCCTACTTAAATCTCTATGAGACAACAGAAAGTTAACGATAACCTTTAACTTGAACAATTCAGATTTTATAACTGAGATTAGCTGCGTCTCATTTAAAGGGTTGAAAAGTTGCAGGCCCCTTCGCCACTCCGCCAAGTCCCAGGCAGGCTAGTCATCAAAGGTGACCGAGAACTGGTGTAAAACACCGTAACGGCAGTATTTTGACTATCGCTGAAGTGATGCGGTGCTATGAAGACAATGGTCTTATTTCTTAAAAACAAAATGCAGAGGCCTAATGCAGAACTATGCCATTAATTATTAGTGTCAGCAGATGCGGCGTTTCCGTGACAGTGACCACGTGGGCAGTCCTGCGCGAACGCCTTGTCGCTGCACATTTAAGGGTACACGGCAGACACTAAAACTCTTGTACTGGCCCTGGCCCGGGAGCTCATCTGGTTAAAGCATTGTCCCGATACACCAAGGCTGAGGGTTCAATCCCTGGCCAGGGCACATACAAGAATCAACCAACGACTGCATCAGTCAGTGGAACAACAAATCTATCATCTATCTGTCTGTCTATCTGTCTGTCGTCATCTATCTTTTCTCTCTCTAAAATCAATTTAAAAAATTGGTTGTGGCATAATTCTGTATATTTACCAGAAATCATTGACTTGTACATTTAAAATGAATGAATCTTACAGTATGAGATTACACTCCCATTAAAGCTATTATTATTTTTTAATTATATGTTCATAGGAATAAAAAAAAAACTAAGGAAAGAAAGGCATGAGAAAGACCAGCTGACACTGTGCTGTAACTACAGGGAATGGAAATAACACTTAGGAAATCTAGCAGAGGAGATCAGAAGAAAAAAGACATCATTGTAATTAAAGATTCATTCTTGTTTTGATCCAGACACCGGGTTATTAGCAAGAACATCATTTGTCATTGCTGTATAAGAAATGGTGGCAGTGATAACTTCACAGTTTTCCCTTAATCAGATCTTGCCATCAGCCCTTTGTCACCAGCAAGCCTAATTACATTTTTTAAGTAATGACAAAGGAAAGGAGAACCAGAGAGAGAAAGTGAGCCCTGACTCCCACCAGCACCCTTCTGAGATTAATAAAGCTGCGAATGCCGCATCTGGAAGCTGTCCAAATGGGAGCTGAGAGTTTGTCACTGTCAGCCCAGGGATGCACAAGTGACTTCTCCCTCTCTGCTCTCCTGGTTAAGCCCCAGATCTCCTTATGGCTGAGCCCGACGTATCTTATCAAAAACACCTGCCCAAGGTGGACAACGCAGACTGTTCGCCAGGCACCCCCCGAACAGCAGAGAAACTCACTTTTTCACCGGGAGGGCCGATTGGACCTTGTGGGCCGGGAAGACCCTGTGTCAAGAGAAGGCATTTCATCCGTCAGGAACCACATCGCAGGAGTGCGCTTTGTAGAACAGTGAGCTGTTAGCCCCGTTTCACATGAAATGAGTTGTGAGCCTCTGTATCTCTCCCCTGCATTTCCAGGAAAGTTCGGGAAGGCTCTGAGCAGGTTCACACGGCTACTGTTTTGGCCGGGGGGCTACAATTCGATCCTGTTCAGACCCTCCTGCAGGAGTGGCTGATCTCCTGGCTTTCCATCCGCACCCAAGGGCTCGTTTTCTCTTGCAAGAGAGAGACCTCTGCACATTTGCTCAAGGTTTTGGTTTTTTTTAAATTTTTTTTCAATTACAGTTTACATTCAATATTATTTTATATTAGTTTCTGGTGTACAGCTTAGTGGTTAGATATTCATACACACTTTACAAAGTGTTCCCCCTGATATTTCAGTACCCATCTGGCCCCATACATATAGTGTCCCCAAAAATATATACACAGACTTTGAATAATTATAAAAGCAGAGTTTATTAAAATACATTTCTTTTTCAAAATTGAGCTGTCAGCTGTTAAAGCATGTATATATTTTTGGGGGACACCCCGTAGTTATCACAATATTATTGACTATATATATTCCCTGTGCTGGACTTTACCATGACTATTTTGAACTTAATCCCTTCACCTTTTTCACCCAGTCCCCCAAGCCTCCTCCCCTCTGCTCAAGTTTTTTTTTTTTTTTTTTTTTTTTTAAGGGGAGAAAAAGAATTATCTTCATACTCTCACATTGCAATCGTTTTTAGCTCTATGCAGAAAATTTTGAGACTGTCCATTTTCTCATAAAAAGATACCTCCCTGCCCCATGACCTCAAAGGAGCTGCGACAGCTCCGACTCACCTGAGGCCCTGGATTCCCTTGCTGACCTGGAGGTCCTGGCTCCCCTTGGGGACCCTGCGGTAGGAAAATACAGAGTCTTTAACAGAGCGATTTCGCATAACAGGTTTTTTTCTTCTCAGTTGAAAAACAGTCCCCACATCAATTCCCCCTATAGACAGTCTGGAAAATCTTGCAAAATATTACTGCCAGCAGAAGCTAATGGACTTAGCAAATGTCGTAAGAAATCCTTCTTTCAGGTCTAGCAACAACAGGAGCTTCTCAGTCCCCAGGTTTTGTAGAAACGAGTCCCGTTAAGGGTATTTTCCACCTACCATGTTGCCTTTTGGTCCTTGGGGGCCGTCTATACCTGCGATGCCCTTCAACGAAGAAAAAAGTAGGTGTGGGTATTTATAAGCTTAGGAGCTGCCACAGGCCACCAAGAAGACTGTGAAACGGCGTGGCCCCCATGAGCCCAGGGAGGCGAACAGTCGTGCGGGGTCCAAGGAGAGCGGGAGGAAGGGAAGACGTGCCCTCGGCCCGCCTGTGCTCCCGGAGACCCGCAGCGCGTCCCGCTGCGCTGGGAACTCGGGAGGAACCAGGGCCAGGGGCGCACCGCGGGAGGGCCCCAGCCTGGCCTCCAGCAGGCGTCCCTGGAAAGCCCCCCGCCCCGGCGATACTCACGGGCTGCCCGGTGGGTCCCGGGGTGCCCCTGGGTCCCAGCAAACCTCGGGGGCCCTGGAAGGGAACAGACACAGACGCATATCCGTAAGAAAGGCCCTCAGAACACGCCCCGTGCTCTAGAGGCTTTAGGGGAAGGCTGAGAGTCAAGATACCCGCGCGTCCTCGCTGAACACCCTGGGAGCGGGGTTTGAAATGCCGTCTTATGCAACTATTTTCCAGAGTTTCTACTGACCAGGCGGCCAGCATGCACCACGCGAGGCTTTGCTACAGAGACTGGCTGCGTATCTTTGATTCCGTGCATTTCCGTATGACTCACTTGGGAGAGTTTTAAAATAAGAAATGGCTTAATACTTTACATATGTCACTTTTGGGTCGTTTCTGATTGGAAATGGCAGCACAGAATCTCATTGAATCTTATTCTTCTGCTGCACAAATAGAAGGGTCCTGTGTTTTACACTTGGGTTAGTTCCGTCTTGAGAGAATATTCACTGAGGGAAAGAAACACCTGGGTGACTGTGTGAGGTGACAGAAACCATTAACCATTATTTCTGTTTAATCGCAGTCCGTCTGCCCCATCTTCTGTCCCCCTTCTTTAGAGAGGTCAGTACAGTAGTTCACGGTTTCTCGTATGTGCCTGAGCTGTGACGCCTGTGAGCCGACGGCCCTGGAAGGCGGCAGGTGTTTTGCGCAGACGCCCAGGCAGAGCAGGAGGTAAGAGCGTTTTCCCTCACCGGCCCCTTGCGGAGCAGGAGCCGTGTCATCTCCTTAGGTTCGCACAGAGGTGCACCTTCCGGGGGTCGGGAGGCCCCTTCCAGGCTGGTGCTGCGACTAACTAGCTGCAGGGACACCTTCCCAGTTCAGTTTTCTCACCCGTAACATTCAGGGGACGCAGACAGAATCGAGCGCACTTTATTCTTTCATCTGGCATGCTGAGCATTTCTTTTTTTGTTTGTTTGTTTCTCGTAATAAGCTTCATTTATCCTAAATACGCGAACAGATTCTGGAGCTATTGCTGATATAAAAAATTGGAACAAAACAAAGAAACAGCCACAAAAACTAGCTAAGGTTCTCCGGCTGACAAGAGGGTATTTTACGTTCCTCGCGCCTCGAGGGTCTAAGGCTTTCGAACAGGAAGGCGCGACGCGGCCTTTAACGTCGCCCGCATGCCAGCCGCCCGGTTACCTAGGCGAGGCCGCCGCAGTCACCCGAGTGCACTGGCGACTCTCTCGTGCGGCCCCGCCGCTGCGCCCGCAAAGCGGTACCATTTAGAAAGAAAGAGCGTTGCTTACAGCTTCACCTGGCAGGCCCCTGGGTCCAATCTCGCCGTCTTCTCCCTGCCGTCGGGAATGAACAGTGAGACGGGCGCCGACACGCCTTCGCCCTCGGGCTTCGAGCTTAACCGTTTTCAAGTGCAGTTTAACTTACCCTCATTCCGTCCTCACCAGGAGAGCCGGGAGGACCCTGGGGGCCCCGTTCGCCCTATCAAGTAAACGCAAACACGGTCAGAGTGTGGGCCAGGCGGGATCGGAAGCCCCCGCAGCTCGCCTTCCAGGCAGAACAGGACGCGCGGCAGGAACACCTGCGCTTCGTCCGCCCGCCTCCGGACCCTCCGCAGCCAAGTCGCAATTTTACATTAACTGGCATCACACTGGCAGGCTGGGAAAATGTCCCCTTCATTTGCAGAACAAAAAGGTTTAAATTAACATCCCAAATAACTGCCAGACATCGAATTATTATGAGGGAAACCATTAAAGTATTATTTTGCTGAGGATTGTTTCAAACATGGATACGCTTTGGTGATTTTTAATTTAGATTTGTTTCTGCTTCTAAAATAATTCATATTAAATCAGCACAACTCCAGAAGACGAAAAGGATTTTGGATATTTTTAAATTATATATTTAAGTTATATTTTTAAGTTATATAGAGAATTATAGATTTCTATTGACATGTGCTATGCGTTCACTAAGGATCTTGCTAGACATCATTTTCTTTCTTTCCTTTTTTAAAACTATATATCCTCCAATTTACCTAAGGGTTGTCCTACCTTCCTTATTAATTTCTGGAGAAGAAATATGTAAAGATCCAAAACCGATCATTTTTTGAGAGACTGCCTCTGCCTGATTTCCGACTAAAAAATATCTACTGGATTGCCGATCACAGTGGTGGTTTATTTAGCCTTAGCCAATGATAAGCTCTTGCAGTGGATTGCAAGGTAATATTATAACAAAGAAATACCTTGTGTGTCTCTGTCTACCAGAACCACCTCATTTAGTATAATACAAGGGTGTCCAGTATATTGTTATACTAATCACAGATTGTCTACAGATGTCTTCTTTTGAGTATATTTCTACAAATGGAAAATGTAAGGCCAAAACAAAAATTGACACAATTATATATAAAAAAATAGAGGCAATATTAAATCTCTACAGCTCTATAATTATATTTTCCATATACATGCACATAAAAATTCCACCTCAATCATTTTATGATTGCATAAAATGAGTAAAGTCTAAAAACAATTAAAGAACTTATATTACTATTGCATATGTAATTCTACTTATCTTTATAAGTATCTAGGAGGTGTCATGATTTCTTAGCTGGATTTACAAATATTTAATTTTCTTCTAATTTCCTAGAGTGTAACAATTCTAAAATATTTCCTAATATTCTTGTATTATCTCTGTATAAAAAGTAACAGAATAGTATATCTCACCCTGTGACCTTTGTCACCTGGCAGACCTGGAAGTCCGTCAAATCCTCGATCCCCCTGTAAAGTCATCATTATCAACATCATCATCGTCATCATCATAATCACCATCATCAACACCACCATCATAATCACCACCATAACCATCGCCACCATCATCACCAGCATCATCACCACCACCATCATCACCATCACCACCATAACCATCACCACCAGTATCATCACTATCATCATCATCACCACCACCATCACCACCATCACCATCATCATCACTATCATCATCACCATCACCATTGTCACCATCACATTTCCAGTCTAATTCTGTAGTGTAACTTGAATGTGAAATATTCTTTCATATCAAGAAACTTTATTTTAAAATATAGAAATCTGAGGGGTGAACTGACATACAGGATCTGAACATGCAANGCCATAACCATCGCCACCATCATCACCAGCATCATCACCACCATCATCACCATCACCACCATAACCATCACCACCAGTATCATCACTATCATCATCATCACCACCACCATCATCATCACTATCATCATCACCATCACCATCACCATTGTCACCATCACATTTCCAGTCTAATTCTGTAGTGTNCCACCATCACCATCATCATCACTATCATCATCACCATCACCATTGTCACCATCACATTTCCAGTCTAATTCTGTAGTGTAACTTGAATGTGAAATATTCTTTCATATCAAGAAACTTTATTTTAAAATATAGAAATCTGAGGGGTGAACTGACATACAGGATCTGAACATGCAAACATCTGAGCTCCTGACCTTTGCCCCAGGCTCTCCGGGCATTCCTCTTCCTCCGTCAGCACCTGGACGACCCTGATAAGGCCAAGAACATAACTAAGCAAAAGGGCTTCCCACTAGCACAGAGGAAACAAAGGACCTGATGATTTCCGATGCCCTTGGAATACACAAGAAAGCCAACATACCCTTTTTCCGGGTTTTCCCGTTGGACCAGGGGGACCTTGGACACCTCGAGGACCCTATATCAAAACATCGTAATGAATCCATTTCATAAAATTCCTGGCCGATAAACTCAATCACATTGATAAACATGGTTTTAGGACTTTATATCCACTCAACTTCACCTTAATAATTTTTTAATTGATATCTTTTCCCCTTTATTTTATACCTTAGTCATTCTAACACACGAAAATCATTTCTTATGTGAAAGTCCAGATAAAGCAGAAGGGAATCCGTTTTTCTAAATGGCTTCTTGCAAAAAAAGAGTCATATTATTTTATTAAGTTTATATAGACATGCACCTTCATTTAAACAAAGGGAACACAGTAAAATTTGAACTTTAAGAAATCCTCAATTATTCATTTTATTCTCAAACCCAAGGACTTTATATTTCCCTTGACTAAGAGCATTCTTCACCCACGCATTTCATTCCTCTTCTCTTTCCAACCCCTTCCCTTCAACTTTACCTTCGTTTTTTTGAGATTCTCTCTTAGATATTTATTCTTTTATTTCATTTATCATACTGGATTATAATTGCCTTTTTTCACAGTTGACGCTCCCACTGAATTAACTGTTGCAGCTTTGGACTAAATCTGTTTTTTTTCTGCATTACGCTGCCCAGAACACAGTTTCTCAGTCGTCTGCAGGATGCGGGAGGGTGAGGAAGATGGGCCAGCAGCCCCCAATGCCAGCTGCCGGCTGGCACCGTGCGTGCCAGAGGAAGGGCAGGAGAAGCTCAGCGCGTTGCTCTCCTCAGTCAGCACACTACGGTGCTTTACCTACATATAAGGTCTCCTGTGGAGATTGTACACGTTTTTAAAAATAAAATTACATGGCTAATGATAGATCAAATGCAGTTCCGGTATAAATATTATATAGGCCTTTATATTTAATTAACTTTAAATTTTTAGAATTAACTTAAACAGTATGCCTGTAATGAATGTGGTGGAAAATGTAGCACACATTTGAAATTACAAATAATTTTAGGATCACTCTACAATACTGATAATAGAAATTATAAAATTAAGGCTGTCTAATACTTAGAGGTTAAAAGAATATAGCTTGAAAAAATTATGGTAGTGAGAGGACTCTACTCTGTGTCCCAGCTGAAAGGGAAGAGGAATTAATAACAGGATAAATCTTGTTAGTTTTTAATGAAAGTGATCATTTGATAGTGCATCGCTCTGGAATTAAGAAGTCGAGAAAAAACTACAAAATCCATGAAAACTACTGCGGTACACTTTCAGATTCATCTATTTTTTAAAGAGCTGAGTTTGGCCAAAAAGTTCAACTTTACAAAAGACTAAATTCCTTAGGTTTTCCTGCAGCGTCCTTTCGACGTTTTTACGCAGCTCTCCGTCCTTTACCGTGGTGTCAGCCAAGCCGCAGAGCGAAGCGGCCACCTGAGTCCCCCAGGTGGCCTTCTCAGTTTCCTTTGATTTTCCCCCCATTGCAAAGTAAGTAAACTGCGCCGCACCCACACAGGGGCACTGCTGGGCGACAGAAAGGCCCGGACCGCGGACACGCCGCTCAGCCGTGAGCTCGCGCGGCTCTGTGCCGAGTGAAAGCCGCCGAGTCGGGTCAGGCCGCGGGCGGCGTCACGCACAGGGCAGGCTGGCAGGAGGCGGCCGGGGCCACAGGCACCCACCCGACGGGCAGGGGCCGGGCGCGGGGGCACGTGACTGCACAGTGGTGGCACCCGGGCATCTTGGGGTCACAGTCTCGATGACTGTGGCGGTGACTACGAAGGAGATTATGGGTGCTAAAATTCAGTGTAACCTTACACTATTTTGTAAATGAAATTCATTTAAAAAGAAGAAAACAAATCAGTGGATGGCCGCTTGAGAGCTCCTGCACCCCGACCTGAATTTCTATTTATTGGGTATATTAAGAAGCATTTAAAAAAAAATGAATGCATTTAAAAAAATATATCACATTTTGTTTTTCTGTTTTTATAGAATAAATTTCATAAGGTGCATATATTGAATGGCTCTATTTATTTGTTATCATTAAAGAAATGACATTTTTAATTTGGCATCGTATAAGTGTACCCTAAGAGCTTTTAAAATTCTCAGCTCAGATATCCTGAATTTCTCTGAATTGCTTCAGCTCTACAGAGGGTGTGAAGTTAGCTTCTTTTATGGGTGTTAAATATCCTTTCTGAGAAAATACGCTCGATTTACTCTCCACAGCAAACATCTTGGGCTGGAGGCAGGGCCACTGTAAATAAAATTATAATAGTTCTGCTCTGCTTTGTACGATCCCAAACCAATTTAACATTCGGAAGGCTAATACTATTAAGCCTTTTCCCATCCTGGTTTATCTTCTTTTAATATCACTGAAGTTAATCAAGTCATTGGCAGTCAACTGGCCACTGAGGATTTTCCAGCGAAACGAGTTGATGTGAGCGAAGAGGTAATGTCGGTAAAACACGTGGCAGATACTTCAGTCATCCTACTTGAGAAAAAAAGTCAAAAATCATATAAGTGACATAAATTATTTTTACCTGAGGACCTGGGTCACCGCTCTCACCTTTGGCCCCTGACGAACCAGGTCCCCCCTGTAGAGAAAAAAGCGAGAAAAAAATAATTTAATTAAGCCATTTCCAAACCACTCTTACCCCACCATTGTCACCTCAAATAACTAAACATTACTCAAAATTTACTTCACCCAGTTAGTACGATTTTATTAACACAATACAGCGTCCAAGTCCTTTGATGGAAACGCATCTCCCCTCAGACTTCGTATCCAGTGTGCTCGCCACTGAAAAGACTGTTTTACGTATAACTACGCAGACGCCAGTGTCGTGAAGTGACGCTGCAGCTGTCTTCAGCGTGTGCCATCAGGGCACTTCGGATGACAGAGGCATCGCTGATCGCTCGGGCTCGGCCCGCGCCAGGCGTGCGCTGGGGGCACGCAGGCCGCGCCTTCCAAATGCCCTGGCTCCCACCCTCGGGCGCCGTCGGACCCGCGTCCTCCAGCAGCGAGGCGTCGAGAGCAGAAGCTACTGCTCTCATTGCAACTGTCGCGGAATGATGTCAGATCGATCTTCCCCAGGTCGGTCTGTGTTTTTCCTACGAGAATACGTCCTTTTGACAACCCCCTTGCAAACATTTATGTAACGCCAAAAGAGCGACAACCGGGCACGTGGACTGGGAAAAAAAGTCACTTGATAAAGGTCCTGTGAGTCTCAAACATAAATACGCGCGGGCGCTCCTCCTAAAGGCACCCCTGGGCCCTGTGCTGAGGACCCCCCGCGCCGCGAAGTCAAAGCACCGCTCCTGGGAGAGGCTGCAGGGTGCTCGGTGGCTTCGCCCCGACCGTGGGAGACAAGGTCAGATCAATAAAGAATGAAATACACAGTCAACACTAGGTCATCCATCCCCCTGAAAGATCCAGGACATTAAAGCTGAACGCAGCGATAGCGGTCACGTCATCCCACAGAAATATACTTTGTGTGTTTAAGAGCAGGGCTCATTGAAACCAAATGCACATTCAATTCAACAGCACGGTGGATCCAAGCCCAGGAAGGCGAACACTGTGCCTCGAAACCTCGGCTCTCCAGAGCCTCCTGGCGGCTCCCAAGCAAAACAACTATTGATGTGACTCCCGAGAAACACGGCAAGTCAAGAGCATGAACAGGTTAACCTTGAAAATGGCAGAAACGATGACTTTCACGCTTCTAATTAAGAATCCTTGCAACCAAATGTCTTCAAGAGGAAAACAGGGGTTCTCCATTAAACCTGGGCATTAATCACTGAATTGAAGGCTAGGGCAGTCCATTTATTTTTAATTAATTTGCTGCATTATATGCTCTGTATATAAGCACTGCCGACTCAACAGACCATAATTACTTTGCCCAAACACTTATTCTAAAAATTGTCGTGCAATAATTGAGAGTAACAGAGCGGGGGAGAGGGGGAACCACTGTCTACGTTTCCTGCATATTTTATAATGTAGGCCTCCATGTGTCTATAAAAGCAACTGGAAAAAAACAATAAAGAAATTTTTCATTGGAAGACTTTACATATTTGTCTTAAAATACTGATGTAGACTTCATTTCCCTTTAAATTGTTAATGTATAAAATTTTTTGGACTCTGGCATTAACAGACTTTTGAAAGTCCGTAATAATTTGATGTTTGGGAGCAAAGGATAAGAGAAGAGACAATGGTGAAAAGAAACAACATGATTTTTCTCTCTCTCAGTTCTTACCTTTAATGTTCAAGGAGCCTAATGCTTTCCATAGCAAAGATTTAAGATTAAAATTAATCTTGGAGGTAACATTGAGAATGCGCATACGGTTGTTAATGTTTTCCGTTTGCCCACGTGATGTGACCCTTCCTGACTGTTTGGTGAAACTGAAAATGCTAATTTTATCTGCTTTTACTGGGTCTGCTCACCATGGCCTTTAGCCTCCACAGATCCTCTCACGAGGCTTGTGTTTGTCTGGGTGATAAATAGGAAAATTCCTTTGGAAAATACAGTGTTAGATCCTAGACTAATATTTTTTAAAGTAACATATGTCAGTGTTTCCCAAACACTTGGCCATAAGAATCAGCCTGCTGAACTCTTTGAAAATATAATTTGCCATTTCCAACCCTGAACCTATATCATCAGAGTCTCGTGTGCAGGGCCCAAGAACTTCTACTTTTAATGAAACGCACAGGTAACTCTTCGGCCCCCCCATTCATAAAGCACATTTCTTATTGGGTAACCTACCACAGGACCTGGTCTTCCGGTCAGACCCATTGGGCCAGGGGGACCCCTCAGCGCGATCTAGAAAATAAAATACATCGGCTTAGGAATGTTCTGCTGGGCTAGCGGGTCCAACCACAGTAGTCACTCACACAGGCGACCCTTACGTGACAGGCGATCAGCACAGGTAAGAGCTACGCGCCAGGAGTGTGGTGGCCGAAGAACGGCACGCTTCTAGAATGGCCCACATCGGTATCAGACATTTTCCAAGCTGTTGTAACATATACAACCTGGTACCACATATTATTAAGACTTCTTCAATAAAAAAGCTTAAAATAGATTTTAGAATGAGAAATCTAATATCTGACATATTTTTCTATTCTGAAGTGTACTTCAGAATAATGTATAGACCTCTCTTAAATGCGTAGGTGCAAAACTCGTTGAAAATACGTTCAGAGGTGAACAAGTTGAGGTTCTTTAAGTAAAAATTTCCTGGCAGTACTTTAGGAAAGACAATGAGAATGAAAGCCAGATGGCAAAATGCAAAATTGATCAGAAAGTGTTACGGCAATACACTTCTTTTGACAAATCTCAAATGTGACGCTATATAGAAAAATACATTTATTCTGTGAAATCATAGGCATGGGAGGCTAATTGCATGCATTACTGATACTGAGAATTAGAAATGTGAAATTAGCATACTTGGAAAGCTCAAACAAGTGGAGGACAAAAGATAAATAACTGATAGATGTTACATGAGCATGGTGTGCGATTTTTAAATATTAGTGATTCCAAAGGTGAATACTTAGATTATCCAAACAGATATCAAAAATAATACAGCCATAGAAATAATATGTAAAAACGTATTAGAAGAGTGCACGAGATGAAAACGGTAGGATCTCCAAAGTTTCACTACTGACTCACCATGAGATTTTTGACAATATACTTCTTAATCCTTGAGATTAAATATCTGAAAAATTGGAATTATAATGCTTGCTAAAAGGACTAATAAAATGAGGCATTCGGTGGCCTCATAAAATATTTAAGCTCAAATGGTTACCTTAAATTTGTTCAAAGTAGTAGAATTTACAAGTTAAATTGTAGGAATCATTAATAAATTATTTTAAATATTTTTTTATATTTGTTTATGCCAAGGTCTAGTAAACAAATACTTAAATTTTTCATTGCCTTTACACATGATGTCACCAAACAGCGGCATCTTTCTAGATGGACAGACTTAGTAGATACGTAAACAAATGTTGATAATGAATTTAAACTTAGGTTTTCAGATATTTTATACACTCACAAATTTATGATAATAAATAAAAAGCTATCACATAAGTGACTCGTATCACTTAGAGAGTGGGTCCCCGCCACCATGCCAGTTTAAGGTGGCAGCGGTGCCAGGCTGTCCCTGAATGCTCAGTTAAGGAAAGCAGTCCTCCTGGGCCAAAGACACCGTCTGAGCACTTCCCATCGAAATCCAACACGCTCTGCGGCAGGAAGCGTTTCGTCCCCAATAGCAGCGCCCTCCAGACGCAGGCACACGCGCGCAGTCTCACACAGGACCAGGGCAGGGCCTCCGCGTCCCCTCTGCTTACCCGAGCCTGCTGAAGGATAGCCTGGGCCTGAGCCTCCTGCGCGGAGATGGTGGGTCCTTTGGAACCATCGCCTCCATACCGAAACTAACAGAGGTCACAGGGGGAAACTCAGGATTAGCCTTTGCCAAGTAGGTGCCTTAATTACTAATAAAAGCCCCTGACTTAAAAGAGTGAGTTCTTACGAAAGTCCAAAGTAACTCCATCCGGAATCATGAGACCTAGATTTCTTTATTTTTTTAAAGTCTCCTTCTGCCTTTTACGCAAGTTCTCTAGACCTTGTTTGACCATGTGCAGAAGAGACCGGAGACTCCTTTTCGATTTTAAATTCCGTAATTTAATAAGCCCCATCACGCATTTTTCATCTGCACAGATGGGACCCATGCTACTCACGCATCGGTAAAGTTCCAAACGCACTAAGTTCAGAGGTGGTTACAGGCCCATTGCTATTTTGTTGAGCAAAACTTTCAGACTCTCTGGGGACACAGTGGAAATCGTCCTTGAGATATGTTTATTTTGTTTACCTTTTCTTACATTATTATACTAAAAGACTGATCCTACCTATATCCCTCCATCAAATTCTAAAGCTTCTTTGTAATTTTATCTCAAAATGGAGCCTGAGTCAATTTCTCACTACATAATTATTACTTGCAATTTTATCACATTTATATGGATAAATCATTTTTTCCCCAGAGAACTAGGGCAACATTAAAGCGAACATTATGGTAAAGCAAATAAGTTTTGAGCGATGAATGACACTATAGAGATACCTTTTTTTCAAAGTATCACCTATTGTCTTTATGGTGAGAAACACTATATTAATATTACATTTACATATAAAATAAATGTTAATCATACAACCCAGGAAAAAGCACGACTGGGAATATTAAGAAAAAACTCTAAGCGTGGTTGTCAAAAGTGTAATCAAATAATGAAACCTTAATTCTAAAGCAGAGATCGACATTTGCCAGAATGCTGTTTCAGTAAAATGTCCCATAATTTCCAAAGGCTGTTTGATTTCGGGCATCTCTACCTCGTGCAATGGTTTTTAGTTGATTGCTCTGCAATGTGGCCCAACAACACGTTTCGTCAGTACGCAGACAAAATATTAAGTCGTCTTTATAGCAGGGAGAGAAAACATACCGGCAACATTAACATGGTACCAGGAGGACCAGGGAGACCATCCGCCCCCGGTAGGCCAGGGCGTCCTGGGGGACCCTAGCAAAGTAAATAAAATGATCAAAATGAATAAATAAATGAAATAATCTAATTTATTAGAAATTGAATAACTTTAATAAGTCTACATGATCTCGTTTGCATTTGCCCTTTGCTCCTCGGTTAACCTCCTTTTAGGAAGTACACCTAGGAAGGGCTGCGTTTCATGGCACTGGTCAGCCCTATTTTAATAACGCACAAAGCTATTGGCTACACAGGGATGGACGGAAAAAGGGGGAAGAGAGGAACTTTACAAGAGGCGTTTGGAGAGACTTAACATAAATGATCCGGTTGACCGAGTGACCCAGGCTGCGATCCTCAAATCAGGATTCCGGCTTATTAACTCCTATCAGCCTCCAGCTAGACACCCACCGGAGGTCCCGGACTATTTGTCTGAGTTCAGATTGAGGGACTGAATCTAAGCTAAGGGGTTCATATCAAAAATTTTCTTCCTAATTATCACATAGAAAACATGCACATTCTGTACTCTCACTTTTAAACTTATGGTTAGAAAACTTAACCCAAACGTTGCACAACATTAAATGTATAAACCCCCCACCCCCCACCCCCCCAGTGAGAAGAACACGTTAAACTTGTAGAATATATTTTAAAGTTTTTCTGTGTTACTTTCTTTAATTATGAGGAGCCTTCACTTACCCTCTCTCCAGGGTCACCAGGGGGTCCCGAGGGGCCTTGTAGACCTGGAGGGCCCATAAGCCCCTGCAGAGACATAACCGAGGTCCGAGTCAGACTCCTGCTCCCAGCGCGCCCGGGCAAGTCCATCCCACCGGCATCCAAGGGGAGCTCGCCGGTCGCATGAAGGCACGGCTGCCCGATTCTGCTCCTGCGGGCTGCGGACGGCCCGCATACGGCCCGCCTCGGCGCTCTCAGCTCTTCCCGTGACGCTGCTCTCGGGGTGGAGGCGGACAGTCCAGGGGGACACAGGACGGGAGACCTCGCCAAGGGCAAGTCCCCGAGGCAGAGGCTGGCTCCCAGTTCTTACCGAAGGGAAGGCGGACTCACGGCGCGACCTCAGAAATGTGCGAACACAGTGGCCATGTAGGCATGGATTAGCTGGGAGGCATTCTCACATTTTCTTTTACGGGTAAAAGTACTTAAAGGCAGCAGGATCGCATGCTTATTTCAGATGATGAGAGTTTCATTAATGCCACAAAGGACAGAGGATTTCTTAACAGTTAGATCCGAACAGCTACCCGAGAGTGAAGACACACCTCGGGGCATCAGCCTCGAGAGGGAGGGACAGAGGCAGCCGGGAAGGGCTCACCCCGAGGGCCCACAGGCAGCCACAGCCTCGGGAGTCCCAGCCCCACTCACGGGGATGTGTCTATGCCTCTTTAATAAAGACGGCGACGGCCTTTTTCTTTTTTCACTTCCATAATGTTCAGATAGCAGATTGAAAATGAGGTTAGATGCCGAGATATTTAAGGGACAAAATTATTTAAAATAAAATGTAATTCCATTACTCTCGAAAGAACATCATTTGGAGCCAGATCGGAAAGCAAGTCAAGGCCCCCAGGTCCTCTGAACAAATACTTGCCTCTAAATCAATACCCAAATTAGTCTAAAATATATCAATTCAATCATGTAATAGAAATCTTGTATCTGATTATAAAAAAATCAAGACAAAAATAACTGTAAGACATTTACATACCGCAGGTCCGGCTGGCCCTGGGGGTCCTTCAATCAGCATCCCCTTTAATAAGAAAAGACAGAGAATCGTTTCCAGGGGAATGCAGCCCGAACCTCTTACCTGACTGACCCTAAGAGCACTGTAAGAAGTGAATTCTCTGTTCCTAAAACCAATGGCAAACATTTTTGCACGAGGAAAGGAGGGAATTCACATGACAGAAGACGTCGTCCCTGTCCTCAGAGAACCTATGAGCGGATTAGAAATAAGTAACTATTCAGATCCATAATATCACAAGGGGAATATGCTAGTGCTTCCAGGAAGGGGAGAAAAGTCCAGACAGAAGAGCCAGGGCAACTATGAGACGAGCTCTGAAACGGAGGAGGGAGCACTATTTCGGGAAAAGGGCCCAGTTCTAAAAAGGTTATGATGCTACTGCTGAAAACTGCTTTGTTATTTAAAAAGTTGGCTGTAAGTTTTCATAACAAGGGTGAATTCACTCTGAAAATGTCGCTTTTTAAAGGCTTTGGTGNCTGTAAGTTTTCATAACAAGGGCGAATTCACTCTGAAAATGTCGCTTTTTAAAGGCTTTGGTGAGACGCGGCAGGCTTTCTCAGGCCGTGGGGTAATGGCGCGGACAGCCAGGGGCGTCCTCCCAGACTAGACGTAGGGGGTTAACGTGTGTCCCCCACACACCTTCTTCCGAATGTTTATGTTCTTGTAGTTTCTGAAGCGACGTTCATGACCGTGAGGCCAGTAGTCAGACGTACACACTACTTTCCTTCTGAGGCAGTAGTTTCCCCACGGTGTTCACTAGGGAGACCCACAGTAAAGTTGCTTTCCAGTAAGAGTTGGCATCTTACTAGCATCTTGAGTGGTAAGAACATTAATATATTTTTAAAAATCATGTCTGGAGTGAATTGGAGCCTTTTTAATGGAAGGTAAGGAGGTGAATTTTAAAAAGACCATCTTCATATTATAACATGATGTTGTTTGGCTATGAAACTTATTTGTATCTATGACAAAAAAGTAAAATAATAACTCAGAAAAAAAAAAATGGGGAGGGGGAAATCACTGGATCGGAAACCGGAAGGGCTCACGTCTAGTTCTATCTCAACCGCCAAACATTCAAACCCAAGGAAAGCTAATTACACCCTTTGAATCTCTGGTTCTTTGGTGGTGAAATGAGAGAATTAGACCAGGCACATTGCAGCTACTTTCAAACCCTAAAATTCCATAGCTCTGTGTTTTTTTGGTTAATCGAGATGCCACTTGCCCGAAATGGCCTTAACCAAACCAGTTATCTGTGACAGATTAAACACATTTGGACAACAGAATTTTCAATGTAACACACGCATATACGCACTCATTTAAGGGGACGACGGCTCATAATATCAAGTAAGCAACTTTCCCAACCTTTACAGTGTGTGCACACCGGTACTCACAGGCTCAACGACCGCGGGTTCTCCCTTCTGTCCCTTCTCCCCGTAGGCGCCATGGCCATTGATCTGTTGAGGGAAAATGCAAGCAGCCTGTCTTTAGGTAAATGAGACCATTGGGGATTTTTTTAATAAGGCAACTTAATTATTTACAGGCACTGAAAACAGCCTCTTTAGATGTGCTTTTTAGATAGCAACCTATCAAAGGTTTAAATACTGAAAATATAAAAAACGGAAAACATAATGGATATGAGTACTGATCCTGAATGAGACGGGACAGTTCCTTCTCAAAGACGCGTCACAGAAAGACAAGGACACCTGCAGACCTCAGCGCTCACCCCCAGACACGAGGCAGAAAGTGTCATCAAAGTCAAGTTAGGGAAATAGAGGAGGGGTGTTGGAGCGGCGGTCAAAGCTTAAAATGCTAATAATATAATACTAATGACACGGTGCCTCCTTGAGCATCAGCAAAAACGAAATCCTTTAAAAAAATTAAAAGTCTAAAAATCAGAAATCGCACTTACTGCCCAGATATAATAATGCCTGTATTTTAATCTTATCCATGAAAAGAAAATCTGGATAACAACTCCATTCAAGATTCTACTTTCAAAGGCAGGCTCCCGTCACGGGGCCAGAGAGCCACGGCTGCAGGTCCCCGGGGAAGGCCCTGTCGCGAAGCCCTGGCTGTGACAGGCGTTCAGCGTCTCTACGAGAAGACAGGCTGCCCTGGGAACCTGGAAAAGCCCCACGCCGAACGCAACCGTGTTCCCAAAGCGAGACACGACGCGGGGCGCGGTACCCACTTACGCTGGTTTCCGTGACATCGGTCTCGGCCGGGACGCCCGGACCAAAGTCTTCGTTAGTGGGGCCCGTCTGTTTATCTTCATAGTCTTTATACTCATAAAAATCGTAAGCGCCTAAATCTCCATCTACAGGAGGCCCAGAGTCCCTGCCGTCTAGGTCTTGGTTCCCGTACAGCGGGTCCTCGGGGCTCCTCCGGGACTCGTAGTCCCCTCCAGTCAGATACTCCTCGGTGAACTGGTCCTCGGCGGGGCTCGGCTGTTCATTTACGTGGCGGGGGATCGGAGACAGGAAGGGTAGGGTTAGCGAGGCGGGGGGCGTTCGCAGTGAGCTCCACGGCCTGGCGGGGCAGCCGTGCGGATGCTCCTCGAGCAGGCCGAGGACCGCTCCTGCCAGGGCCGCCGACAGAAACGGTCCCGGCGGGGGCAAGGAGGAGGCGCTGCTTTCGTCCGAAACGCTTTCCCAGCGAACGGCAAATATTCACATGCGTTGCACATGTGTATTCGCCCGTTCCATGGAAAAGAACCTTGTTAGTCAACTCGATCTTTATAGTTTAAGGTTTGAATAATTAAATAAGCCCGGAGTGAAAGCTTCACTTCATTTCCAGGTCTCGTAGAACATCCTTAGGCAAGATAACCACCTCCAGCCACTTCGACTCTCCGCCCATGTAGGGAAGGCTTATATCACCGAAGAGTTCTTTAGGGCAAATAAAATATACAATACAGTTCTCAAAATTTAAGACAATCGAATAAAATATATATCCCTGTCGGATCTCATAAAGAGCAGAGAGTAAATATTCACTTGGAAGTAACAATTACATCAATAAAACTCCCTCAGAGACATAGAAACATGAACGGAGTATAATTTTCTCTTTCTCATGAGCAAATCCCTATTAAGAGCATAAATCTGAATCCTATTTATTATGCAGGATTTGGCCATATTCTGATTTTGATGAGGTTCAAATTAAATAATTTATTTTGCTACTTTCTGAATTTTATTTTTAAGTAACTTGTTTCCTATGACATAGTGAATCCGGATGATGAAGAAACATCGAATAAGTGGCATTACACAAAACCACGTGACTAAAAATGTGGCTGGATGGTTATCGCAGCAATTGTTAAGTAAAATAAAATGTCCAGTAAGCGTAGTTTTTTTTTTTTGTTAGCCTTAAACACGGGGGATCTATATCTGCAGGGGGTGCATGTTATTCAGCATCCAAATGTTAGAAGTGGGGTCACAGCTGTGAACTAACAAGCTGGATGAATCTGGGTGCGCAAATGAACATCTTGGATCAAGATAGCCATTTTTGGAAAGGATTAATTAGGACGAAAGGAAACTTAAAATCTGTTCTTAAGCTCAAACGTTATTGTGCTAGACGATGCACCTGCACGTAAGGCACCACCGAGCGTGTCGGCCTGCGGGAACACGTGCCATTTAATATTCAGATTACTCAAAGGCACTTAACAAACTGAACCGGATACTCCTTTTCCCGGGATCAGAGTGCACTCGCAGCGCGACACTCAGAAAGTGTTTGATTTGTACCCGTGTGCACTGAACCCTTTTCGTAGGAAAGGCTGGGAAAGGGTAAGAGATGCGACTGGCGCGGGCACCGGCTCCACGAGGGCCGCGTGTTCTCGGCACGCCCGCCGTCCCGGGGACCGGGGCTCCTGCTCGGGTGGGGGAGGTCTCGTCGTATCAGGTGCTGATACAACTTCACTGGAGGGGTTCCCCTCCCCGCAGCGGGATCATGTTGTGACCGCCCCGCGTCGCAACATGTGGGAACCTCGGGGGAGCCGGGGAGGCAGGGAAGGGCCGCAGGGGGCCAGGGCGGCCTTTGCATGGAGCCGGGGCTCATGCAAACCCGAGCCGACACTGACTGTAAATGAACTGTCTTCAGAAACGGAGAACCGAGCCGGCCGCTCCTCTTACCTCAGGGAAAGGGGAAGGGCGTGGACCTGCCCGACGTTGTTTACAGGTGCCCCCGGGGGGCATGTCTAGAGAACAGGGTGCCCTCTGCAGCCCGGCGCTGCGCCGTGGGTGCCCGCNCCGTGGGTGCCCGCCTCACCTCGTTTGGCCCCGACCCGCGCCGGGGGGCCTCGGTCTGGTAGCTCTCCAGCGTCCCGTAGCCGTACTCGGGGAAATCCTCGACGGCGTTCGCCTGGCAACAGATCCAACAGAAAGGGTCAGAAACGCGCGGCGGCCGGAGCAGGGCGGGCCGGTGCGCTGGGCGGGGGCAGCGGCCGTCATCACAGATCCTCCAGCTGAACTGGGAGGGATCTTGATCGCTCTCCTTCGCTACCTGGACCCCTAGTTTGCTCTCTGCCGCTGCGCGGTAACTTTTCTTCCTCTTGGGTGGAAATTTTTCAGATCTAGGGGGCGTAAACTTTTTGGACTTTTCCCTTGGGCTAGTAGTGGCCACTGTCCACGTCTTCCTTTTGGAATCGGGCCTCTTCTCCGGTGAGGCGCAGCGACAGAGGGAAAGGAAAACACAAAGACAGTGAGGAGAGGGGGACACAGCGCCCCGGGCGCCGTCCCCGCGGGACAGCTGCCGCC